ATCGATCCGGTCATGCAGGCGCTCCGGCCAATTAGAACAGAGTATGCGAGGCGAGGAAGAGGAAGAAGTCGAGCAAACACGGGGAAACCAAGAAAGAACAAAGATACAGTTACAATTGCGCCCGCCCAAAACGATAGTTGCACAAGATTAAGGGCGTGATCCAATCAGAGCCCAGTTCCCAGCGCAGCAAGATGCGAGCAAGCGCGGCCCAACAAAATTAAGTGTTCCGAAATTCCTAGCCTAAGTCCTAATTGCAAAAAGCATATTCTGAAAAAGAGAAAAACGATTTCGCGAGCTCATGGGGGCTCGACATCAGTTGAAAATTCAAAAACGATATTCCCGCGCGATGATCGCACAAAAAATCCCCAGTGCTCACAGCAGAACAAGAAAGAAGCTATGGTACAATTATTTCCCGCGCCTGTCATGGCGAGACCACCCAACCGTTGGCATGGGACTTTCCCGACACCGGTCTGACAACTTCCAGCAGAAACGAAAAGAAACAAGGGCATTCCTGCAATTCGCCCGCCCGCCCCATCTTCCCTCAGTTCACCCATCCGACCCGTCGTATCTCCCCAAGCAGCTTCGCACAGAAAGTCGCACGATCACAGAAAGTAGTTCGTCACACCCTCACCACACCACTGTCGAAATGAAAAACAACGAGTGTATCTTCACGCAAAGGGTGGCAAAATGCATCCATCCATTACAGTCAACTATAAAAAGCAAGGGATGCATCTTACCTTTTTCTGAGGAAGATGCATTCGGTTTTCTCTCGCTTCGACAGTGGTCTGGTGAGGCCCTAATTGTAGGCATACAGGGAACCCCCATTAATTTTTTTTGTTGCAAACGAGTGAGGTCTTGCGGTGGGGAAAATGGTTGGGTTGGGCGCTACGAATTTCCTGTATGGCTTTTTGTTGATCACTGACGCGCCTGAGAGCTTGCAGGGCTCGGGGGCGCGCCGCGATTGCGCCCCCGCTGGAGCAATTTCGGAGACGAAGCGGCGCGACGCGGGATCTACCGGAGAGCAAGGCGACGAGGTGGGCGAAGACGCAAGGACGCGAGGCGAGAGAAGGGTATGTATGACAGAGCTGGCGACGAGGTGGACGGTGGGATATGGTGGCGTGTGGTAGGAGATGGGGTGTGTTGGGCAGTGACGGAGAACAACCACGGGCGGTAAGGTAAGGGGGAGGAGGGTGGGCCAGATGGGCAGGGGGGTGTTGAATCGCTGGACTAGGTTAGGGCTTGTTGTCCTCGTTTTTTAAAAACCCTTCCCTCTTCCCTCAACAGTATGGTATGGGTATAGTTTATGAGGTTTTGAACCCCCTGTGGTGACTCGTCAACGGGTTTGGCAAGGGGGTGCCACACTGTTTTCGATTTCCTTCGGGGGATTAAAGATGGTCGTTCATGTTTTTTGTGTTTGCTTTGCTTTGAGCCTAGTTGCTAGCAATGGGAGGAAGGGAATTTTTTCCTTCCTCAAAGACGTAGGGGGAGGGTTTGAGGGGTGTGAGGTAAGTGGCTTGGTTGAGGAAGAAGGGATGAGAGGCTGTTTTTTATTGGATTAGGATTCAGCCCACGCGTGGCTTGATCGTCTTATAATTCGAAATCTACTAATAATGTTATGATAACCAAGCTTTTCATCCTGAGGTTGACTTTTCGTTGATGATTTCAATTCATGATTCTTGACTTTTCTTGATAATAGGATTATAATGATGTGACATATCAAAATTTTAATTGAGAGTTTCATGTCTTGTTGTAAATCGTGAATTTTCTGATTCGTCATGATTTTTTCCCTCGACTTTTTCAGAGTTGCGGCTGTTTTTGCTGAATTTTTTTCACAGGCTATTTTTGAACGATTTCGTTTTTATGATTGTGATTTGTTTAAAATCTAATTTATGAGATCTTAGGTGTTTTCTGGATGTATTTGATCCTTAATCCGAAATTCCTATTTTCTATTATGAGCAAGATCCTTAATTTGAAATTCGTATTTTTTTAGCAGGATTCTTAATCTTAAACTCGTATTTTTTTTAGCAAGATTCATAATATGAAATTCGTCAATCAATTTTTGCTCTGATCCCAATGAATGATTACTCAACTTTGAATTACAAAGGGTTACAAATTGATTTTCTCAAAGAGGAATTGATGTCCTACGTTTATCCATCTTTGATCTAATTCTAAATCTGATGCAGTTTTTCGGAAGTTGTATTTTAAATTTGTTAGGATGTAGTCTTGTAAACGAAAGAGGGAAGGTCGAATTAGAGGCAGGTGGGAATTGGGGGGGGGTCACTCAGAGGAGGGATTGGCGGTTCAGGGTGGTAAGTCTATTATTAGAAGGGTGGGGTGGGACGACATTGGTCAGTGCTGAAGCATTCGCTCTGTGACTAGGGGGAGCTTGAGACCATTAAAGTTTTGCCGAGGGTGGAAGGCATAACCATCTCGCCCGTCGTAGTTGTTGTCGGGGCGGTGACCATGTAACCTTTCAAGGGGCCATACAGTTAAGGGAGTTGTCGAGGGGGAAGGCACTCTCTGTCTGTCATAAACAATTAGGTCGATTGTGGGGCAGTTTGTGTTGCCTTGTAACCCTAGCAGGGGGGTATGATATCTAATGATTTCTGGTACGAGGATTGAAAGCTTGGGCGGCATGTCCTTCATTTGTGGTGAGGGAAGGAGACAGATTGTAAGGAGTTCTAGTTCTTCAAGCTGTCCTTTTTCATTTTGACTTTCTTATATGGGAAGGTGAAAATTGGAAGTATGGTTTGGAGGAATTTTGGGTGGGCTCGTGCAATAGAGGAAGGGTTACTCAAGGTAGTAAGTCTACTAGAAGGGCGGGGTGGGGTGAAATTGGCCGGTGCTGGAGCAGTGGCTCTGTGACCAAGAGGAGTTTGAGGTCATTGGAGTTATGCCGAGGGTGGAAGGCATAGCCACCCCTTTCAACGTAGCTGATGCCGGGGCGGTGACCCTGTAACCCGCTATGGGGTTTGCAGCTAAGGAAGTAGTCGAGGAAGGAAGATACTTCCTGTCCGTCAGAAAACAGTTAGTTCGGTGTTGGGGCAGTTTGTGTTGCCTTGTCACCCTAGCAAGGGGGGTGTGAGAATTGGCGATTTTTTGTACGAGGACTGAAAGCGTGAGCGGTGGTTTCTCATCTGTAGCGAGGGTCTGAGTTGGATTGTTGGTGGCTCTATTTCTGATTTTTGTCTCAGAATCTCTGTTTTTCATAGTTTTTTTACTTCTGAATATGTTCTTGAATGAGATTGAATTTTCTGATTAAAAAAAAAAAAAATCTTTATAAGCTGACGCTGGTGGCAGGAGGCCGGGGGTGCGATGGTGGGGGATACTAATGCGCTTTGCAGCCATGAGGCTAACCTGCAGGGTGGAAATAGGATACAACAACGGTGAGGATGATGGCTTCATCGCAGTAAAACTTGTTGGAGTAGGGTTGTGAGGGATTTTATGTGCCAGGGATATCTGCAACCAGCGCCCGAAGGAGCTGAGTGATCAGATCTACAGTTATGGTGCTGATTGGTGGCTTGTCTCGTATTTGCTGTAGTCTTGGGTCCCCGTGGGCTTGCGAATGGACGAGGCCAGAACGACGCTGGTCGGTGCTGGGGCTTGGTCGCGCAGCCCTGTAACTCGAGCTGTACGAGGGCAAGAGACCTGATAGAGAGATCTAGGGAGTTGTTGAGGGTGGAAGGCACTCTAGTGTCCTTTGGTAAGTTGGTACTTAGACGATGCTGGTCGGAGCCAGGGCGGGTCGTTTTGCCATGTAGTCTAGCAGGTGGGAGTCTTTTGGGGTGGGTCGGGCGTGAGGCCTAGTAGTAAGTATCGGGATATAGGGATGAGGCAGGTAGGGGTGGGCAACTGAAAGGCTCTAAGGCAGGTATTTCTCAATCTGAATGCTCTTCTAAAAACAAAAGGGCCCTCTATATGGAGAAGTAGATGGTTGGATATCAAGCGTCCTACTAGTGAGGGGGCTAACCTGTAGGACGGAAATAGGCTACAACAGCAGTGGAGATGGTGGCTCTGCTGCAGTAAGTCTTGCCGGAGTGAGGTAAAAAGGATTGATGGGGGGGTTTTGAGTCGTTTTCTAAAAAAAAGGGTTGCATGTTTTGGCATTTTCCAACTTTTACCTATTATCAAAGGGCGTCCCTGCTCAGTTAATCCCCTGGTTTCCGGGGCAATCAATGCTGGCAGGGGGAGATCTTCTTCATTTTTCTCAAAAAAGAGGTGAGCGGGAGAAGGAGATGGTTGGATATCAAGCGTCCTACTAGTGAGGGGCTTGCTCGTAGGACGGAAATAGGGTACAGCAGCAGCAGAGCCACCCTCGTAGGACGGATAGGGTACAGCAGCAGCGGAGATGGTGGCTCTGCTGCAGTAAGTCTTGCCCGAGTGAGGTAAAGAGGATTGATGGGGGGTTTCTGAGTCTTTAACCCTTTTTCTGAACTTCGCTTATTCCTGAAGTTCGTCGTAGTAATTTGCTAAGTAGCTCAAAATTTTCTTAGCCAAAGCGGGGTAATGGCCCCGGTATCTCAAATTTCCAAACTTCTATGTAAATTTCCATATGGGACGCTTGGCCCGGTTCCCAGCACGTGCTGCTCCCCACGAATAGATTGGAGCCTTGTTCCCATTTCAAAAAAAAATAAATAAATAAAAAAGATCACGGACACGCCAAACGAGACTGGGAAAGAGGGGGGGGAGGGGGGCTGATGGGCTTTCAACTGGGAAAGGGGGGGCCGGGCCCTGACGGGCTTTCGACTGGGAAAGGGGGGGCCGGGCCCTGACGGGCTTTCGACTGGGGAAAGGGCCTGAAGGGCTTTTTGTTGATCACGGACGCGCGAAAAGGACTCTGATGTTGCTCGCCGCGATGTGATGGCAGCCGAAGCGTAGAACAAGGGGGTGGGGGGGGGGGGGGGGGGGGGAGAGGGGGGGGGGGGGGGGGGGGGGGGGGGAGGGGGTGAACGGATGCAGTCGTCTCGTAAGGATGGTTCACGTCGACGCTGCTGGTAATGGAGTAGAAGCAGGCACCACAACGTCTCCATGGCCTGTCTGCCCGTGAACGTTCAGACAGATGGAGGGAAGAGCCACCACCACGGACAGAGACCTCTCTGTGGCGTAGCTGCCGATAGAGTCTTCGTTCGTTTGTTGGATTGGCGATCGGATTGGATTGGACGTTTGATTGATTAGATTGCAGGAACGTTCGTCAGCTGAGGGTACTAAGAGAGCAACAACAAGGAGTCAATGTCAATGGCGACTACTTGGGCATCTGATCCGCGAACCACCAGGCGGCGTGGTGGTGTTGGTGCTGAGATTGGCACGCGCATCACTGATCTGCCGGAGGCGTTGCTATGCGAGGTGCTCCGTAGACTGGGTACGGCCAGCGATGTCTGCCGCACCGCTACAGTCTGCTGGTCGTTCGCCTCGGCCGTCCGATCTAATCTGACTTGGGCGCTGCAGCTGCCTCCTGGATGTCATCGCCTTTGCCAGTCGAACCCTCCTTCCTCCTCCTCCTCCTCCTCCGCCGCCTCTTCCTCTTCCTTCTACCCCGACCCCACAAGCTCTTTGAGTTCGCGGGCTTGCTACATGTATCTCTTTTCTGGCTTTCCTGACAGTAAATGCTCTCACGTGCACTATCGATTGGAGAGGTCTACGGGAGCCTTGCAGACGAGCGTTTCGGTTATGGGAATGTCTGTCGCCTGGGGTAACAACTCGCGGTACTGGAAGAGAATTCCCCTCGAGGGAAGTGTATTTAAGGAGGGCATGGAACTGCTGAGCGTGTGCTGGTTCGAAATCACGGGCACGGCAACGTGCTCTTTGCCACCGGGAAGGTACACGTGTGCATGGAGACTGTCCCGGTCTCGGGGCGGTGATTACGGCTTCCCCGATCATACCGAGGCCACCGTGTCCGTCGAGGGAGGGGCCTTTATCCAGGGCTACATAAGCACAGGAGAGCATGACATCGCGCGTTACCCAGAGTGGTCGGAGTTGCGAGTGGGAACCATAGAAATCGCCGCCGCCGAGGAGGACGGGGAGAAAGAGGACAACGAACTGTTGTCGGTGGCAATCAAGTTTCGATTATTCAATTTCGAGGGAGGGTGGAGGTATGGAATGATTGTGGACGGTTTGGTTATACGACCGGTAATCATGATGGCAAAGGCTAATCAGACAGAGGGGAGAAATGAAGAGGAAGAACGCAAAGAGGATGATAGCGTGGCAGAGCCCTTAAGCGATGAGGAGGAGGAGGAGGAGGGAGGGGAGGGGGGACGACGAGGAGGGCAGATGCCGTCGTTTAAGCTACCTATCCGAACTCTTCAGTTGTTCAATTAGTGCATTTGTTGATGAGTGAGAGAGGCAACGCTGGAATAGGAGAGAGGGAGGATTCAGTGAACGACGCTCGACGGCAACTGGTGGTGATCTGATTGTCCCCGCTTCACGAGGATTCAGTGGTGGTCCCACTCGACCCCAACTGGTGGTGGTGGTCCCCACTTCTACGAGGTGTACAGTAGGAGTGAGGGTGTCATTCTTTTGCACGGTCGTTATTGATCCCCCGTGATGGAGGAATGAAAGGTAATATGAGATTTTGGAGAGGAGGGCTGAAGAGAAAACACGGGCAGGGGCCTGATAGCCTCGGATAGCGAGACCGGTAGGGGCGCCTGTCTGTGCAAGAGGAGGAAGGTCTCACTGGTGACACCGATTTCTGTTGAGTGGTCAATTTGATTTGCACGTGGTCGCAACTGAGTGCTCGGTTGTTGCTTACAGGAAGGGAGCAACTCCCCATCAAGCAGCAGGCAGGAGCGTCTCAGAAAGGACAAGCAATCCTATTGCCCAGGAGCGACCTCTGGGCAAACAGATGCAGCAATGAACTGAAGTTTTGGGAAAGGAAAACGAAAGGTGGGCGGATACGGGAGGAAGATGGGAGGGAGGGATGCTGTGTGCATGTCTATGTGTTTGTGTGTGTGCGGGGTGTCCCTGTGCGTGTGTGTGCGTGTGTGTGCGTGTGTGTGCGTGTGTCCGTGTATGTGCGTGTGTCCGTGTATGTGCGTGTGTCCGTGTATGTGCGGGTGTGGCGGCGCGCGAGAAAGAGCGAGGGGGGAGAGAGAGAGAGAGAGAGAGAGAGAGAGAGAGAGAGAGAGAGAGAGAGAGAGAGAGAGAGAGAG